CGGAAATGAGACACTCCTGACGGAACTACAGGAGGGACCGGAGGGGATCATAAGAACTGTACTGTGAGGAGAAAAAAGAAAGTGAAGTAGGCATAATGTTCTCGCCATCTGTTTATGTACTTACAATCCCAATCGCTCTTAGAATTGCCCCTCTGAGTTCGATTCCAACCTCGAACTTTTCGGGCAATCGGGTGTTCAGTATTCAATCACACAGAGTCAATTGAAGATTTATGTTTCAATGCTCGCTCTGCATCTAGGACCAGAATTCCCACCCATGACTCAACACTTAATTAGGGCACTAGATAACCAGATCATTGTTTAAATGAAATATACATTCAAATATTACTTTCGTTCTGAGTGTGAGATAAAGTCAAGTGCCCATTTCATAGAGATAACCCGCGCTTGGATAAATTCATTATTCACGTTTGATAAGCCTTTATTAAGAGCGACAGGTGGAAGGATAAGCTAGTTATCAACAAGACCTAGGAAATCTATTTAAGTATCTCACTCTTACAGATAACGAAAGCACTCTACACATTCCCGACAAAATCAAATGCATCACAACGGTACCGTTCGGTGATGGTTACGATTACATTGTCGTTGGTACCGAAAGTCAGGTGCTCGTCTATGATTTCCATCGAAATTCGACTGTATTCAGAAGAGACGTACCTGATGGTGTACAGTGCTTTGCGGTGAGTGATTGAACCCTTAAACGATGGTATCATTTCCTCTTCTATTATAACATATGGATTGGAAGGAATTACGCTTTAGTTTTGAGCGAAATGAAGAGATACTGGGAAACTGGTAATAGCTACTGCTAGCCTGGAATTCTAACCAGTTCAACCTCAATACCCCAAGTTCCGAACCCCCATTGATCTCAAATACTAGTAATTTCCTCATGCTCTTTGCCATGCCCTCCGAGATCGTTCAAAGAGGAAAGAAATAGACAACGAAAGGTTCCAGTCCCATCATATTCCTCCGCTTCTGAAAGCTAATAAACTCCAGTTTTCTATCAACATTACTCTCAGGTAGGTAAGATGGGCGATTTTGACAGACTGATACTCTGCGGTGGTAATTGTGCTATATGGGGTTTCGACGAAACTGGCAAAGATGTATTCTGGACAGTCACCGGTAAGTGATTACTCAATGGTTTTTACCTAGATTAGACTTGACCTAGGTTTGTAGGCTACAGCATTACAAATAACCACTTTCTGCAGTCTTGTACCGATGAAATAAGTTCCCAAAAAAATCCACAAAATACTGGTTGAAAAAAAATTTGCCATCATATCATTTTCTTAGGAGATGCTGTCACAACTATGTGTTTCTGCGATTTCGACGCCGATGGCGAAATGGAGGTTGATATTTTGTCAAAGCTGTATAACCATAACAAATTCTTCAAATTTAGCTATCTTGAGTTTAGCTAATCATTGGCTCACCTGATAGTGAATTAAGAGTGTTCAAGAACGACCTGATGAGAGCAGAAATTCTCGAAACCGACGCGGTTATCGTTCTACAAAGCATCGATAAGTGAGTGGATCTTTACTGTTGAATCCCGAATAGATATAAAATTTTGCGAGTTAAATTTATTTGCTAAAATAACTTTCAAGGAGAGAGAGGCTTTTGTCAGTGTCGCTTCTTTTTAGAAGTCGATTTGGCTATGCATTGGCAAACGGTACCGTGGGCGTTTACCACCAAGATCAACGTCTTTGGCGTATCAAATCAAAAAGTGTCATAACTGCCATACTTGCTTACCCGAACGAGGAAATGATGGCATGCGTTTGGAGTTCAGGAAAGGTTGGTAAGCTCATGGTAAACTCATTCCTGTAAGGCGCTGCCCAAAGACAGTTCATGTTGTAAATGGATTCTGAGATTCCTCTTTTGGATGAGCCTGCGACCCACAAGGATAGCATAAGTGACGCTGTCAGGTTGAAAAACGGCTAATATAGGACGTAATAAGAGCCCTAAAATCGGCTCAGCCGACGTATACACCCATGGCGGACGAGTTCCTAAACATTGCAAAAGCTGTCGAGGTTGCACCATTCACAACGGGACCCACAGCTGACACGCAGGTAATCTATTGTAGCCAGCTTGTATGCAATGGCGCGCACATTTGAACAGCTCGTCCAAAGACCCCTTCCATGCAATTTCTGTCGTCACATTCTCGCTCAACCGCAAACGTTACTACTTTTTTGAAGCCCTCTAGTCTCCGGACACGGTAATTTCAACGTTATCTCTGCCATATCTTTTGCATTATTCTGGATTACCACTTCAATTACTCCTCTAAAAGTAGATAACCCCAAGTTAATCTTGAACTGCGCCTTTACTTTCAAAAAATTCCACTTACACACCTCATTCGCGCACGAAATGATCCATGGGATGATGACTACCTCCGGCCTATAGATGCATTGCTTTCCGCGCGAGACAAATTCGCACTCTAACATAACAACACGCTTTTCCTATTTATAGATTGATGTGCGATCGATCGGACAGAATGGTGAAATCGCTTGCAGAGAAGCTTCTTTGGCAGGGCAAAATATTATTGCCGGTTTCACGTCCACTATGAACAACGACATCGCCGAATTGACTGTTATCACAGCTGACGGAAGAGGTGACTGATGAAGAGAAATATGTGTGGGATGTGTTTGGGGTAGATTAGTAGGGATATTCGGGACCACCTTCATAGGGTTCGAGGAAGTCCAAAGAACCTCGGGTACTATAATACATCACAATAAGATACAAAATAACAGTATTTCTGATGAGATGAAACTCTCCATGGCGGTGTATTCAAACAGCGTTTCTTTTCAGTTACCGGATTCACTAATACCAAACCGAAGGAGATTGTCGACAAATCTCAAGAGACATTACACCTATTCGGACAAAAGAAACATAATTTACTGGTAAGTAACTCGCTTTCCCTCGAGAAGGTTCCATGAAGAAGTTCACCGAGGTCCTGAGATATGTGAATCGAGAGGAAGCAAAACCTTCATTTTCGCATTTGAAGGAAGCAAAAAAAATATCGAGAGCATTTGGGTCGATAGGACTTTGCACAGTAATACCAATAATTTCCCCTATTATAGATCTTTCACTGCTACATACTACTATTCTCGGCTTCAGAAACCATTGCGCCACTCCAAGGCATTTCCCCACTCCCTTGACTACCCATATCATTACCATTACTCGTTTAGTAGCCTCTCCTACAAGACTTGTTGACATCGAGTATATCCCTTGCTTTTACGGTAACACGGGAATGCTCTTAGCGTTCTATACACCTTGAAGTACTCCTTTCAAATTGGACTTCCAGTCAAACAAACTTCACGGCTCTTGAAAGAAATATTTCAGGAGAGAGAGTTCTGGAATATTAGAACGTGTAGAATTTACTACCATTTATATTTGAATGAACTCGGGCCTGTACTTCACAAGTCCTGACAAAGTCTCTGACTCTCTGACTTACAGATCGAGCTCAGCAATTTCAAGCAAGAAGAGCAATTAACTGAAGCAGAAAAAGTGAAAGACTACCGTATCCCCATTGGAACTACTGTTGAATGCAAACTGTATGGTGAGTTGTCTTAGGTGCTTATAGTTACTCCTTACAGTTTCTCTTCGATGAAACTTTATTGAGCCCCTGTGAAGGCTGTGTGAGACCTCCTTGATGAAAACAACAAGCGTAGAACCCTTCAAAAAATATGTATTCTTAATTATGCACCAATATTATTTCACTTTTGTGACATTCATAAACCCACAACTCCCAGAATTCTTCTCTTGGACGCCTTCGCAAACGAATTTAAGGAGTACCAGCAATTGCACTTTCTCGCTATCTACTAGTGGGACTGTCATCTAGACGAAGCTCACTGAAAAGTGAGCGACAATTTTCGGTGTAATCGCAGTAGTAAACAGTAAAATAGGCTTAATCATTTTGGCTCGATCTTGGTTACTTGCCATCAGTAAGCATTTTTCCTGGGAGGAAGTGATATTGTTTCATTTGGAAGAAGTGCTATAGTTTGGGAATACTCTCCATTACAGTATCCAAAAGCGACCGTACGCTGTACTTGGTGTTGGAAGCATCACATGAAGTCTGTATTCGAGGTGTGATCGCTTTTGCTGAAGGGATTTTTGAAGGCGAATCCTACATATGGTACGGATGTTTTCATGAACGGTCATATAATTCTTTTATCAATACAGTTAATATAACTACTTGTGTATCGGAACCTAATTTACCTTGATTTTAAGGATTCCCAAGTTAATCGAGGGTAACGGCGATCGTGTTCAAATCCCAATCGTTACCGAAAAGGATATGGCAAACGAGATCCACATTCGAACATTTCTTGGTCCACAAGAATCGTTAGTTTTTATTCTATATTGTTTACTTTTATCTTAAAGAAAGTAATGGCTGGTTAAGAACATTGCAGGGAAGATAATGCATTTTATCCTACTAGGGAAGCTTTTCCAGTGGGGATCTCTTCCTATCCTTTTCCTCTTCTTCCCAGTTCTTCTCTTTCACTTTCATAACCATAACCATGCCATCCTCCACCAAAGTAAATATAAACTGATCTACGAAGGTTATATATTGTTTCAGAAGTAAGCTGAGCGTTTTCGAGACGGCTCTCTCAATTCCGAGATTCGCTCGGTTCTGTGTTTTACAATCGGACGATGCCTTCGTCATGCCTACGTCCTACGTTGAAGCCATTATCAAAATACGAAATCAGCGAGTAAGTTTCATCAAGGCGTAAGGAAAAAACAAGCAAAATACAACTAAAATGAAAAGCAACTTCCATGTTCGCCTCTCTTGAAACCTATGCATCTGTACTAATATTATTCAATGCTTCTGTGCCACACAGGTTTTTCAATGGTGGAATTTTTANTAAAAATTCCACCATTGAAAAACCTGTGTGGCACAGAAGCATTGAATAAACTGAAACTCTTTGGAACTCTCAGGAATATCTGATACTACCTTTGGGGAAAGGTCAAAAATTCTGCACGGTCCGAGCACAAAAGCCAGAAGGAACTCTCACTGACGAACCTAAGGAGAGATTTGAAACTTATAAATAACTTCTTCAGATTCTCGATTGGGTAATGGACACATTCCTGATCGATATCGATTTCCCTATGGATCCCGAAGAGGATAAGATGGAGATCCGTTTTCTTGGATTAGCATCGAAACGAGACCAATCACTTTGTATCACACATTATCAAGCCGATGGAAAGGTGCGTTTCATGCAAGCGGTAGAGATGTCTGCCGTTGGGTTCGGTGTAGTCGACCTTTCGAAAAAACCAGAACGACCTCAGAGTATTACTGTTTCCCCTGCCTAAGATCAGCCGAAAACCAACGAACTCAAGGTATGTGATCCTTCTATCGCATTGTTCACATGAACCTAAATCCGACAGTAGGTACTCCGGAACCATTACAAATTCTTAGCCCTATGGCGTGGGCGGATCTTGATCGTAATGGGCTGAATTTTGGTTAGGAGAGGGTTAAAGGGCACAAGCCCTCGATCCTCCTACAAAACAATTCAGATGGCGTTTCGGAAAAAATCCATTCCAGACAGTCATATATCACGACTGCATGGAAACTGCTGGTAACATTATACAATCTCTTTGCGACTACTTCGTGATCGAATCATTAGAATCACATGCAGAGTTTCCAGAAAAATTTGCCGAAGTGGAAGAAATTTGCAATGAGGTGAGACTAAGTCCCTATCTTATTCTAATTCACTTAAAAAGTATAAACTAATCTTGATGTAAAATAAAATTAATAGTACTATTACGCCGTACGCCTTACTCCGTCCACACAACTAAACCGCATCGGCAGCACTATCTGTGAGATCCAGCCCTGAGCTGCGACCTTTCAAGGGACGGCTTCAGAGAGCAAACTCCTGCCTATTTAAAGGTAAACAGGATGAACTTCGCATAGGCAGAGTTCATCCCTGTTTATCTTTAAATGGGCGTGAGCCTGCTTCCTGAAACACTCGACTTTGAATACTTCCGAATCTGGTCACTGGTCTGTGCAGGATTGCTGTCGTTTCATGCTGAGAGCGATTCTGCATAAAGCAGAGCTTGAAATACAACAGATAGAAACGACCGAAACAGATTGTCTACCTTGGTAGCGCTAAACATCTAGATGAGTTTCCCCTGCTATAATAGACTTGGAATTCCTGGCTTCCTTCCTATTTCCGGTCCTTGGAAACTTCTGGTTCATGCCTTTTGTCGAACTTTTCAGCTTGATTCTATGTATGATGTAAGGGATCGATTGACGACAGATCTTACGGAAAAACAGAGCATGTTGATGGAAGTCGTTGTCAGAGCCGAAGATGCAATCGTAATCGATGATCTGTAGGTTACTGGACTATACATTATTTTTGCTTAGTTCTATCTAAATCTGTTTAAGAGACCTCGTTCGTAAGTACTACACTCGACTGCGCAATATGGATCGTAGTGTTCGACAAGCGTTCCATCTTCGGGCCAACAATCACGAAAGATTCGTCGAATCACTACGAAGGCTTCATAAGATTATCGAACAAGCTGCCAAATTACGATGTAAGCACTGCTTTACGCTCACCTCATTCCTCAACAATCTCAAAGCATTCTTGTATGTTACGGTCGCCTAAAGGGCCTGAATGGAAGGTGCTACCGCATTCGTTAGGCAAGCGCAACGAAAGACTGTATAGTGCATTTCGGGGAGTGCGATGGTATTTTGTGGCCCATTTAAGCGTTTAGACCCAAGAGAGGGTTAACATAGCGTTTTTTTAATGGCATCAAAGAATCACTGCTTCCTTGAATCTGACTCCACGTCTCACCACTGTCAGCTGTGACGCAACCGCGCGCGGCAACCCCCTGATTTCCTCATTCCGTGAAACAAAATTATTTGATAGAACATGAAGAACGATAGGGGAATGGTGATAAGAAATGGTCCATTCAAGTAGAACGACGACATTTACCGGACACTCAATCCCGTGCCATTATCAGATCAATCTGCATCGCTTTAGAAGCCTCTTTGTGTAGGATGTCATTGTCCATTGTTTTGTGCCCCTCGGTGAAATTCACCATTCCACTGAAATATAGTATTTGTGAGGGAGCAAGGTATAGCAATAAGAAGTAAAGGCTTACTCATTGCCATTGAAATCATATCCATCGACTACTAAGCTTGACCTATTTTCACGATCGATAACAACTTCAAGAAACAAATCAAAGCTAAACGAAATCACATAAAATCTTGCTATTCAGGCGGTGAACCGAGCCGGAAGATCGTCTCTGCATGCCGTGAAGCGATTGCTGACGACAATAAGAGCATTCTGGCGAAATATTTGAAGTTTGGAGTCTGAACAACGGACGGACGCAGAACATCCAACCAGCCAATCTGTCAAACCAAAGTGCCTAACAATGCTCTAAACATAATTAAAGTGTAAAAAATATAACTTCAGTTATACGGACTAGTAATTCAGCGGATAAGCTACATTTGTACCATAATCAAATTTGATTTATTGCATAGATAAGGATCACACTCAAGTGCAAACAAACCACGCAAATGTAGAACATCTGGCGCATCCGGAAGACGTTGACTGACACCGGATATCTTGTCCTTCCACCTTATAGTTTGCACTAATTTTCAATGCAATCGCATATCGACAAGTAAATTTATTGATCAAATGGAGGTATGCAAACACGAGGAACGTACACGAAGGGCATTGAACAATGTGATAAATGAGTGATTGTACAATAAGCGAGAATAACAGCAGATGCGAGTAAATAAAGGATTTTGTTATTACATGAGTGAAAAAAAAATGAGGACAAACTGAATAACGACAACATTCTCGAACTCCCTCCCGAATCGCGTACGCGCTTTCTTTCCCTTTACGGTGCCAGATCGTGAAAGAATTTGATTTTCAAGTAGCATTTCCTATATGAAAGATTAATATGTTAGCCGATCGATGGCACAGCGCAATATTAGAACTCTTGCAAATACCAAACGGATATATCCAGAGAGAAAGCAAAAGTTGTGTACTTATTAGATGTTTGGTTACAGTTATGGGGTACAAACGGAATAAATATGATTTACATGAAACGATAAATAAACAATAAATAGAATTACTTACAAAAAGAGGGTAATGTGAGAAAAACTTCGATATATATAGTAACTACCCAACCTTAAGAGATAGAGGGACAGACGAAAGATGATCAAACGAATCAGTTAGATTAGATGAGATAGCTGTGGTAGATAGATATTACTCAGAATGAAAAAACAACGATCGTTACCGTTGTTGATTCAATGCTTCGTGTAGTAAAGAGCCAAGACGGTGCTGAACGTCTTTCTTCCATGCTTTCTGCTTTTTCACATGCCGGTAGAAGTCTTCCAACAAAGTATGTGCAGTTGGTGCGTGTGGTATGCGCATAAACGCGGCGATTGCTGCGACCAATAATTGATGGGCCTAAAAACATTTCCAGTGGAATATACTTTGCCAATAAAGATTCACCATTCGAACAGGTATGAAATTAGGAATACTTGATAAGATAGCAAATTTATACTAGTGAAGCAAGTGGGAAAATGAAGCGGATCAAACAAGGAAGATCCCACTCAAAAACAGCCCTGCTGGGGTCTTCAAGAGGTAAATTACTCCAGAGCCGATTGAACTGCATCAGAATTGTAGTTCAGTATAGGAAAATGTGTAGACCAACTCTTCAAGAAACAACGAGACCCGAAATGAAAGGCTAACGCGTGACGCTCCCATTTTTTACAGACTATGAAATTGCACTCAATACCGCGTAAGAATGGTTAATTGAACCTACTCCGATATCACAATCAGTATCCACATGTCATACGAAATTGTCACATTGGTATTCATACCCCTGACTTTACAGCGTAAACATATTCTAGGAAACAAGATCTACGAATTCTGCGCCACATACTTTAGTACGATTATACCCCAGGGTTTAACGGTGCTGACACCACTTCTTCCATGCTCCCGCACGACAGGGGAAAAAGTATAAGATGAAATTAGCAATAGAATGAGTCGACTCACGTCCTCCATATCACTACTATTAAATCGATTGTGACTGAGCTTCACACCAGCAGCCGCGTAAAACTGTTCAATACATCGTTCGTACAATTCAGCTGTGGATGGATGAGCATATGTTTGGAGCATTACTGCTCGCGCCTGAATGAAATGAGATAGAGCGAATAACGTCAACAACTGAAGCGCTTGTACAACGGAAAAAAAATCGAGGAAAGTCAACAAACCCTTCCGGCGACATGAGCAAAGGCTTTGCTCGAATGACTTGGCTGAGGAGGCGGCATCGAGCGGTTGATAGGTGGCATAGAGTACTGCTGAGGATAAGGTGGAAGACGGCTGAAAAAAACACCGTATTGAAAACTTTCCCTCTCACATGGAAAAAATATAAAATTGTTTTGGGACTCGATTTGTTGTAATACATATATATCATAAAGGGGAAAGAACTAACGTGTTTGCTTCCATAGCAAATTGGAAAAGCAAGAATGGTGAAGATACAGCTTTTGCAACAGCATCGAGGAAGCTAACAAAATATGGAGTTCCTAACTGTACTGATATTGTGAACAACCATCGAATATCCTCGGCAAACGGTGGTGTCTTAAGAGAGATGATAGATCCTATTTGGCAGTAGCAAAAGCTATTTGATATCTTACTTGAGAGTATTTACTATACTGTCGGGTCTCATCGTTAGCACTCGCGGCGATTGTCGCCAATGCCCGTATGCCAACACGATGGGCATTTACGAGACGAGGCCGCGTTTC